CGGCGGGAGCTGGCGGCCGCGCGCGGGTCCCGGGCGGCTCCCAGCCCCTGGCGGCCGGGCGCTCTGCCGCCCGCAAGTCGTTGTCGGTGATGGTGATCTCGGGCGTCACATACCAGTTGCGGCCCAGGCCCTCCCCCGCGCGGCCCTTTTCAGATAGGGACGTCTCCGACAGCGACAGCGCCGCGTAGCGCCTGGGCGAAGTGGAGAGGTTCACTATGACCGGAGGGCGCCGGCTCTCGGGGGATGCGCCCCGTGGTTCCCGCACTTCTCGCCCCAAAAGATTCTCGTAGCTGCGGCCGCGGCCCAAAGGGTCCTGGCGGTGCGGCCCCGGGGCCAGGATGTTATCCCAAGAGCGCGAGTAGTGGCGGCTGTCGGTGGCCAGGCGCGGCGGGCTGGTGCCGGTGCCGCCGTGCCAGGAGGCCAGCAGCGGCCCAGGCGCGGGGGGCGGCGCCACCTGCAGCGTGCGGTACGGCCGCGGGCCCCAGTCGGCCCAGGCTGGGCTGCTGCGCGGGTGCGGGTAGGTCCGGGTCAGGACCTCGCGCTCCCGGTACCGCCCGAAGTCCTCGGTGTAGAAGGTTCGGGTGGCGGGGCGCACCCAGGGCTCCTCGGGGACGTACCGTGGACCGAAAGGCAGCCCGTAGGCTCTCGGCGCCTCCCCATAATAGGAACGAGAGGGCGGCTCCTGGATCGGGAAGGTTCGCACGTCCCCGGCATAGTAGCCACCCCCGCGCCGCGGACTGGGCTCCGGGGGCTCCTCAGCCTGGTAGGGCCGGGGGCAGTAGCCCTCGAAAGGGGGCGCCGGGCTGCCTGCAAAGCCTCCCCCGAAGCCCTCCGGCTCCTCCGTGTAGAAGAACTGGGTGGGGCCCGGGGGCGCAGCGAAGAGCTGCCCACGGCGCTCGGCATAGTCCCGGGGCCCGTCATAGAACAGCGCGCGGGGATCCGCACAGTACGAGTCGGTGGGGGTGGGGGTGCGCGACAGCGCCGCGTGGCGAGGCCCAGGCACCGTGAGGCCGTGGAACTGCGGGCCAGCGCGGGGCCAGGGAGAGGCCTCGGCGGGCCCACAAGGCCGGGCCCCTCGGGCCGCGTGCTGCAGCACAGAGTCGTCGGGCTTGATGTCTAGGCGGCAGCGGACGTGGGGCGCAGGCCCCGTGTGTGGTGCGCAGCGGCCCGGGGTGGCGCACAGGGGGGCGATTCGGCCGGGGCCGCCCCGCTGCGGCTGCAGCTTGATGGGGTGCAGCTCGTTGGCAAGTGCGCGGAGCGCGGGGTATGCAGGCTCCCGGCGCGGCGACCCCTCAGCTTTGGCTGCTCGCTGAGTTTCCCGGGCTCGGCGCTGCAGGATGGGCGGTGAGGCGGGGGCGGGCGCCAGGCTCGGGGACACGCGGGGTGCACTCTTGGAGCGTGCACGGCGCCGCGGTTCGCCGTCGCGGGCCCGGGCGCGTGGCTGGGCGGGCTCCGGGAGCGGCTGCTCGGGCCGGGCCTCCATGACCGGCGCGTCCAGAGCCTCTAGAAAGTCGAAGCTGCGGCAGTGGCGCTTATTGAAGGGCGCGGGCGCAGCAGGCCGGGCCACGGGGTGCTCACATGGCTGGCGCCTGGACTCGGGCCCCGGGGCCGCCACCTTGATGTCCTGGTACACGGTTGACACCAGCAAATCCGGTGGGTCCGTGCGGGTCATCTTAAAAGGCGTCCCCAGGCTGGTGGCTCCAGTCACTCGACCTTTCGGGGCTCTTGCCCTGTGGGGATACGTGGGTCAACCCACCCTTATCCCCCCACTTCCCCCCACCCCCCGGTTCTGGGTCCCTTCCGCTCTGCTCGGCCATGGGCCTGCGTACCTGGGGTGATGGTGGTGGGGCAGCCCTGGCTGCAGGCCTTGGCCGTGGCTGCTGGTGTCTGGTCCATGACATCAGAGTCAGAGGCATCTGCAGGAAAAACCTGACCCCCAACAGACCAGGCAGGAGGGGTACCTTCTGTGGGTCCTGCCTCCTGCACTCCCTACCCACTCAGGTGAAGACCCCCTTTCCTGGCAGGCCAGGCAGGGTAGGAGGGCTGGGCGTGGGCTTAGGTAGTACTACTGCCCTCTGGTGTCCACAGCTGGAACGAAGGGCTCTTTTCAGCCTTCTGTGGGTGCCTTTACTGGGGTTGGTCCCATCAGATGCCTGCGACTGGGGCCCTTCCCAGTGCCCGGGCAGAGTGGCTGCTTTGCCAGTGCATCCCAAGGGAGGCAATGGGACTCACCTGACTGCTGACCGGCTCAGCGGACCCCTCCCCCAGTGCCGCAGGGGCTCTTGCCATTTGGGACACTGGCTGTGCCTTGAGTCCCAACTCCCAATGTGACCCCAAACGGGAAAATGTCTCCAAAGAGCATTCCTGGGTCTTCAAGCTCCCTTTGCAGAAACCTACCCGGATCTTGCTACCCTAAGGGGGCCTGAAATCTACCTACCTCATCAGGGAGATGGGAGAGCCACCCCCACTGCTGTGTGCATGGCTGCGGGAGCCAGCACAGGCTGCCGGAGCCGGCACAGGCTGCGGGAGCACACGAGTGTCGGAGCCACGAGCTCATAGCACCCCCTGATCTGTGCGCTCAAGAGCTGCGATGCTAGCGCCCCACGGCCAGGAAGCTGCCAGCCCGGGCGGGGGGCGTTGGGGGGCGGGTGGGAGGCGGGAAGAGCTCCCAGGAGATTCCTCCCCACTCCAGCTCTGGAAGCTCCATGGAAACCTGAGGTTCTTCAGCCCCCGGCTGCAGACTGAGCTGGGTCCAGGCTTGCTTTCAGATGTGGGCCACCGGCGCCTCTGCAGTCTCTAAGGCCTGGGGCTGGCCGGGAAGGGGTTCAGGAGGTGGTGGCACCCCCTCCACCCAGCACTAACTCGGGGGCCTCTGCCCAGAGGGTCCGCTGGGGAAACAGCCTGACCATGCCCTCACCTGGCAGGACTGTAGCTGGACGCCTCTCGGGGTCAGCCCTGAGTGTCCCAGGTGTACTGGGCTTCCTGGAAGCATGGCTGCTCTTTGGGGTCGTAGCCACTAAGTACCGGTCTGTGTCCCCATCTTAGCCTCCTGCATACCTGTCTGGACCCTCTTTCATCCTAAGCTCTAGGCTAGGCTGAAATTTGGGTTGATGACAGGGCAGGAGGCTCCGCCCCAGGGAGGTGACAGCGGGTTTTGCCGCTGCGGCTGTCAGGAGTTGTGCTCCAATGCCCCTCCTTACGGGAATGGGGGTGGGGTGAGCAGTCCTGGGACCCCAGATCTTCCGGAGCTCACGTGGATGGCCACACAGCCCTCCTCTCTCGCAGCACGGCCCAGCCTGTCGGGAGCGGCCATCGTGGGGACCTGGCCTATACTGCTTGGGGGCGGGGACTCTCCATCCTTTTGGGGCAGCCCCCAGCCATGACAACAGCACATCAAGCCATCAGCCCCCCCACCCCCGCCTCTTACCTGGCTGTTGCTCCTCCTGCCGAACAGGGTGGGCTGTGCAACCCCAAGCCGGCTCCACCAGGTCCCAGGCACCCCTGCACCCCAGCACCGAGCAGCAGCGCTGTTCTGGCCTGGCTGCTCAGTGCTGCCTCCAATGGCAGCTAATGGGGTGGCACTTAAAGGGGCCGCACCTAGGGGCATCCCGCAGGAAGACCAAGGTGGAGGCTCTCAGCTGGCTGTGAATTTGGGGCTGTGTGGAGCACAGTGTGCCAAATCCCCCTAGCTTCCCCAAGCACTAGTCTCAGGGTTTTAGCAGGGAGCCCGTGCCCCAGAGAAGCCTGCCATAATGCCAGCCCCACCTCTAGGACAACTGTCCTGGCAGGTGGTGGCTAGGCAGGGCCTCTGGTAGGGTGCTGAGGAAAACCTAGTCTGGCCAGTGCTCCCAGAAAACCTGCCTTCAGTCAGGCCAAGCAGGAGCAGATGGGCAACACTGCTCCTGCTGCCCTCTAGCCGGGCACTCTCTGCGTTTGCACCAGAGCTGCCAAGATCTCAGCAGGTACGAAAGGCCAGATGGCCGGCTCAGACCAAGCAGGGCCTGTTGTCCAGGTCAGAGTGGCTGCCACTGTACACACCTCACTGGGCAGGTCTGTGACCCATGCCCAAGCCACAGGGTGCTGTTCTGATCCAGTCCTCTGCCCCAAACAGCCTTGGTGCCTGCTAGCCAACTGTGGTGTGGCCCAGACACAGGGGAGGCTGGCAGCCCCCACACTGCATTCTGCTGGCCCGTGAGTCCTACCATGGCTGTTCTGTGTGGCCCCCACACCAGAGGTGCCCCACGCTAGGGACTAGAGTCAGACTAAGGTATCAGTGGTCCCTTGAGGCATGAGGCTCCCCAACAGGAACCTGAGGACTTGGAGGAGGTGGGCAGGAGTTGGCACACAGCCCAACACCCGTCACTGCAGCCCCCAGAGGGTTCTCATGGCAACGGGGCTCCAGTGGGCGGGGCTGAGTGTGAGCTGCAGGCTGTGGCCCAGAGGCTGGAAGGCTGCCTGGGGGAGGCACATGGCCCTGTCCCACAGCTGGGCGCTGGTATCCTGGATGCAGCTGTGGCCTAACATGTGTCCAGGGTGCTGGCCACATGGCACAGCTGGCTGGCACCAGCAGATCAAGGCCCTAGAGGGCCCGGGGCAAAGGTGGTGGGCTGGTTCCACCGAAGGTGGTCCGGGACGCTGAGAGCAAGAGACACACGCAGTAGAACCCGAGAGCTTTATGGTCGCGTGGAGTGTGGAGCAGGCGTTTCCTGCCCAACCCTGTTCCCAGGAGAGGCTGCGGCTGCTGCTCTGCTCCTGCCAGCCGAGGCTGGCACTGGGCCCAGATGCACACAGGGCAGGGCCACTGCGCCCACAGTGCGCCCGGGACCCCAAGCCTGGCAGCAGAAGCTGAACCCATGGCATGCTGTGGCCCCTCGGCCTGGGAGGCAAGCAGGGGTGGGCAGGGAGTGGATGTTTTGAGTAGCGGGGCAAGCCCATGCCCTGCCTCTGTAAACAACCCTCATGGGTCCTTCCTCGGCCTGTGACATCCCTGAGAAATGCCGGGGGGCTGGCCTTGGCCCTGCCTGGAGAGGGCTAGGCATCTGCCCCGCCAGTGGCAGCCCTGCTGTCCCCTTTCTCCCTGCACAGCAGGCTTGTCCCAGCCTGAGGCCCAGCACCTGCAGCACCCAGCCCCGGCCTCCAGCAGGAAGCAAATGCAGGGCAGGCCAACCAAGGAGCGCAGGCGGCGGTGGTGTGGGGTGGTCCTGGGGCAGGGCGCGGGTGGTGGCCTTGTCAGTCCCCCAGGGAGGTCAGCGGCCCAGACTAGAGCTCCTCATAGTCTCCACCCCCTGGGTGGCGGCCAGCGGGGGCCCCGCCCCCCAGGAAAGCCTCCAGCTCCTCGGCGGCTTTCTGCTCCTGGGTGCGTGCTGGCTTCCGCTTCCGGCGCCGCTCCTCCCTGGCCTCCTCCCCGGCCTTGCTCTTCTTGTGCTTGCTCTTCCTCTTACTGGCCTTGTCTTCCTCCTGGGAACGGACCTCAGAGTCAGCAGCGCTGCCCGGCGCTGGGCTCCCTCACACCACTCCCTCACTGCCCGGTACCTCTTTGCTTTTCTTCTTCTTCTTCTTCTTCTCCTTGGAGACCGGCTTGCCGCCCTTCTCTGCACAGAACAGACAGCCCTCAGCTTCCTGGCACCTGGGGCCTGGCCGCGGGGCGCACTGGCCTGAGGTCCCCCCTGCTCCCATCAGCGTGCTCGCAACAGCCCGGGAGGAAATTCTTTCCTCTCCATGTGGGGCTGAGGACCTGCTGGCCAAGGCACAGCGGGAACAAGTGCGCCTTCTGGGCTGCGGCCAGAGCCTGAGTGAGGACTGTGGGACAGCGGGGCAAGCACGTGAACCGGGGGTCGCAGCTGCACACGGTGCCCGCTCTGCCTGCAGGAGGGGATTCCTACGATCCCGAGCCCTGGGAGCCTGCCAGCAGCTCCCGAGAGCCCTGGTTGCCACCCCCGCTCCCTCCCAAAGCCCTGAAGGCACCTCAAGGCCTATGTGTTGGCAGAACAGCTGGCACAAGCTGCTGCACGTGCAGTCCAAATCCTCAGGGCTACAGAGGCCCCGAGGAGGGTAGCAAGACTTGTTTAGAGGCCACCAGGCCTGCTGGCCCTGGCCGCTGGCGGCTCTGCGGCCGTGTTGCTGACGCCAGACTTGGCGCAGCGCGGCACATGCTCTACTCTGAAGCCCCCTGCCCAGCAGCCAACCCGAGGACAGCCCACCTTCATCACTGCTGTCCTTGGGGCCTGGCTCTTCCAGCCCTAGTCCAAAGAGATCAGAGTCGTTCTTTGGTCTGAAGGAAGCGACAGGGAGCCGGGTTGCTGGGGGCAGGGGTGGCGGGGCAGGCCTGGCGTCTTCCTCACTCCCGTCGGAGGGGTCCTCTCTCGTGGGGAACTCATCCTAGAGTAGGAGCGGCTGGTAGGGCACTGTCCCTTCCTAGCCCACAGACCCCCAAAACAAGGTGGCCAGTTCTCTTAGGGGATCCCAAGCCAGGCAGCGGGGCCAGTGTGGACAGCGTCCTCTCCCAAGGCCCCACCCAGGCCCCGTGGCGAGACTCCGCCCTCACCACTCTGCGCCGCGCATCTGACTCCTCACTCTCAAAGTCCGGGTCGTCCATGACGAAGGACAGCATCTGCGCAGCAATGGGCCCCTCGGGGTCACTCTCCGATGAGGAAGATAATGCCTCTTTGCCCCCGGCAGGTCTTCTCGAGGCGCCCACCACAGGGCACAGGGTGCTGCCAGGCTGCTCAGACTCCAGGCTCGGCTGGGGGGGCGCCCGGGCTGGCGTGGGTACTGCCGTTTTCTGCAGCTGCACGGCCTTGGTGGAGGACCTTGGTGACAAGGACAGACGGGCTCCTGGGCTGTCCAGGCTGCCCTTCCCGCTGCCCCTGGGGCCCCTCCCGTACCATTTTGTCTCTGGCTCCAAGCACTGCTGGGGAGCCAGGGCAGACGTGCTAGGGCGACTGGCCCCCTCCTCGGCCTCCTCCTCACTCGAGAGGCTGATGTCTTTGCTGGGGACAGGGCCTGAGGGCAATGGGACCCTGCTGCTAGGCTGATCCTCGGGGTCCACATCGTCCTGGAAACCTGCCACCATTGGGTTCCCATCCAGGGCCTCTCCGTCACTGCAGAGAAGAGTGATGGGTCAGGAGGGGGGCCGGGTACCAGCACACCCTCAGTGCCTGCCTAGCAATGAGACCTCCTGCCTGGCCAGAGTTCCCGGGGACCAAGAAGTGGCACAGGTGCTGTGCCCTCTACTGCCAGAGAGGGTGTGGCCAAATGGAGAGGACCTTACTCCAGAGATCCTGGGAGTCAGTCACTGGCATTTCTGGCCACAGCAGTGGTGACATCGTGGGTGCCAACAGCTACCCCCTGGGCAGGGCTAGAGCTGGTGGCTGGAGCTGGGGAAGGGCACAATTCTGTGCCCAACTCTGCAGCGCCTGCCCAGCCTAGGTGGAGCTGGGGCTTTGTCCCTGACCCGACAGGACTCAGGTGGTCTCTCTTATGAGCTCCATGTGGCCCGTGGGCCCACCTGAGCCCTCCCTCCAGGACCCATGGTCACCACCCTGCCCAGCCCTCAGGCCCTACGCCATGGAGCAGAGGCTGCCTGGCCTCCAAACTTGTCCTCACCTGTCACTGTCCTGCTGTGGGTTCCTGGCTCCGACCTTCTTCTCATTCTTAGGCTGGGCAGTGTCCTCCAGGAAGCTGCGGTCAAGGCCATCTTCAGGAACAAAGTCCTCCACATTTTGGACCCTTGCTGGTACCTCTGCCGCTGGGGCTGGCTCTGTGGGCAGCACGTGCCTGTCATGTGGCACTGGGCCTCAGTGTGCCCATGTTCTGCCCCAAGAGGGGACCATGCTGGGGACGTGAGGACTGCTTCTCGGCCTACCTGCGAGTGTCGGGGCGGTGTCCGCCACCGCCGGAGAGGTTCCGAACAGCCGGGAGATAATGCTACGCCGCTGTGGGGGTGGGGCCTCCATGGGGGGCATGGGCGAGGCGGGCACTCCAGAAGGGCAGGCTGAGGGAGCACCAAGGGGTAGCGGGGGCGCAGGCTGGGGTGTGCTGGGGCTGGAGCTCCCTGTGGAGATGGTGCTTGGAGCCCCCAGTGGAGACTGGGAGCCTGAGGGCGGGGATGCGTGGCCCCGGCTGCGCGCCTCCATCATCTCCAGGAAGCTGGGGAGGGGTGGGGAAGGGGGCGTGAGGACCCCTGGGCGCTGGGGTCCAGGCCGGACTGCCCTGGGTGTTGTCTGCCCTCCCCCACAAGAGCAGCTCTGCCTACACTACCCATCTGTCCTACGCCTTTCTTTACCACCCTGTGGTAACGAAAATCCCCACTAGCAGCAGGGCGCTGTCCCAGAGCTGGGGCGGCCCAGGGCCCCGGGGCTGAGTGCAGGCCTCCTGCCGGGGGCAATGGGGAGCGGGGAGCGGCGCCCCACAGGCCCACGCACATGCTGTAGTTCTGGTCCTCCGTCTCCTGCTGCACCGACAGCTCCTCCAGGGTGGCATCGATGTCCAGCTGGTTGGTCTCGAGCTGGCGCAGCAGTGTCTCCCGCTAGAGGAGGCAGCCACCATTGAGCGACATCCCCCTCCTCAGCAGGGTCCTCCTCCCTTGGACCCAACATGGGGGCTGGCTGCCCATGGCCAGCTTGAGTGGTGTGAGACAGGGCCACTTAGCTCCCAGGGAGCCCCCTAGGGCTGCCATGGTGCTGAGGGGCTTCTGCAGCCCCCAGTGCGCGGGTACTGCGTGTGGCTCAGAAGCAGCACCTCCCGAGCACCTAGCCTGTACGACTTCCTCCGAGGCAGGGCTCCCCACCCCTCAACAGCCACTCAAACAAACACTATGTCCTCACGGTGCACACAGCTCTGGAAGCCAGGAATAGCTTGGGGAAGGCCATGCAGCCACGGCTGGGTGTCATGGCCCCTGTGGCCGCTCACCTATGTGGCCTGTGACGTCACACATCACACCTTCAGCAGCCACACAGAGCAGCTCGTGGCATGGAGAAGGGCCCACATGGGTCACCGGAGGGCGCCCAGGCAGCTCAGCTGCAGAACACAGAGAAGCGGAGGAACTGTGGCCCAGAAGAGACGGGACTGTGCCACTGGCCTCCTACAGGCGGGGTGCGTGCAGAAAACGTGGGGAAGGTAGGCAGCCCTGCTCAGGAGACAGCTGGGATGCCCAGCATGCCACCATGTGGTCTGGTTCTGAAACAGGCTCCACCTCTAGGGAGCCAGGCTGACACATGGCGCTGAGCTCTGCCTAGCAGTCGCTGTGCCTTCAGGCCACTGAGCTGGGGCACGGTGCTCTGGGAAACTCCTGGGCCTGGGTAGTGTGCCGCTGCTTCTGGATGAATTTCAGGATGTCTGGGGCAGGTAAGAGGCCTGCTGACAAGGACAGCGGGAATGGGTCCTGCAGGCGCCACACAGGAGAGGCTGTGCCCATCTTGCCACGGTGCCAGCACCAACACTGGCCCTGGCACCCTATCCTCGTACTTGTAGCTGTGGAAGCCTGGGACAAAACCTTCAAGGACCAGAGCAGCCGGGTGGCCTTAAGTTCCATTTCTCTGTGGTGACATGAGTCTAACCCCAGTCAGGGGGCTAGGGATATAGCGGAGTAAGTGCTTGCCTGGCAAGTGCAAGGGCCTGAGTTCAATCCCTGATACCACCAAAAAAAAAAAAAAAAAAAAAATCTAGTTAAATAAAACAAAAACACAAAAATCAGGTCCTTTTCACTGAGGGGTCCTAGGCACAGCACCCCTGCAGAAGCCTTGTCTCTCAATCAAGAAAAAGGAGCTGAGGGGGCCGGGGAGATGGCTCAATAGAATAAGCGCTTCCCTGGCAAGCGCAAGGGCCTGAATTCGATCCCTGGTTCCGCAAAAAAAAAAAAAAAAGAAAAAGAAAAAAAGGAGCTGGTGCGGTGGTGCACGCTTGTAATCTGAGCACTTGAGAGGCTGAGGCAGGAGGATCACTGCAAGTTCAAGACCAGCATAAACTATACAGTGGGACTCTATCTCCAGGAAAACAAAAATGGGGCTGAGAACCAGCTATGCGGTGCACACCTGTACGGCCAGCCCTCGGGCAGCTGAAGCCGGAGGGCTGAGTTTGAGGTAAGCCTGGGCTACACAGTAAATTCAGGGTCAACCTGAGTTACCTAGTGAGGTCTTGTCTAAACTAATAAAACCAAGCCAGCAGAAATACAGAAAAGGGGCTGGTGAGATGGCTCAGTGGTCTACAGCATCTACTTAGAACAAGCTAAGCTAAGCAAAGCACAGGGACCGCGGTTCAATCCTCCAGCACCACATGCCAGCCAGCCCCGCCCCCTGGTGGGCTGAGCTGGCCACACACAAAATAAATGAATAAATAATTAATAATAATAAATAAATGAACCCAAAGGACTGACCTCATTAAAAAAAAAAAAAAAAAGAAAAGAAAGAAAGAAAGAAATACAGAAAAAAGGAGATGGGTGTAGTGGCATCTACCTGTCCTGGCACTCAGGAGGCTGAAGCAGGACAATCAGCCTGGCTGCAAAGTGAGACGCTGTCTCAGAGGGGAAAAAAGGGAAGGAGGAGCGGGGAGCTGGGTGAGGCTGGTAGCACAAAAGGTCACCCTAGCTGCCTGGGAGGATGGCAAGTTCAGGCCCAGCCTGGCAATTTAGTGAGAGCCTGTCTCAAAAAAAAATACAAGGGCCGGCCAAATAGCTCAGCGGATTAAAATGCCTGCTTAAGCAGAGGCAGCGGCCAGGGCTTGATCCCCAGTAAGCCACACTGGCCCGCCCCCGGGGGGGCGCACTGAGACTGGGCGTGGCAGCGCGTGCCTGTAATCCCAGCTCTTTGGGAGGCTGAAAACAGGAGAATCACTACAAGTCCCATCTATGTAGCGAGACCCTGTAGACCCCTACTAAAATACAAAAATAAAATACAGAAGGGTTGGGGATGTGGCCCGGTGGCAGTGTGTGCCCAGCATATACCAGGGCCTGGATTCCATCCTCAGGGCAGGACAGGAAAGAGGCACTAGGAAAAGGCAGGCTTGGCTTTTCTGAGTGAACACGAGGCCCTCGAGACACAACCGCACAGCTGAGCGGGGAGGCAGCAGCCCAGGTCTGTCAGCCCCAGTCCCAGCACAGGCCCATCCAGTGGGCTTCCCTCCCAGCCTCAGCGTGCCCATGTCCTGCCAGCACTGGGACCCACGGCGTAGCCTGGGCCAGCGCACAGGGGCAAGGGCTGTACACTGTGCTAGGTGGCGTCCTGTGAAGGGCCACACTGCAGATTCTGTCGCGCTGCACCAGAGGGAGCCAGAGGCTCTCAGGGTCTGGCACTTGCCTTGCCACATGGGGCTTGTTTGCCACAGCCCACACCTCAAGGTGACAGATAGCACCTCACCCTTATCTTCTGTCCAGACCCAACCTGCTACCACCTGTGCCCATCCTATGCCAGCCAAGGCCACAGCCCTAGAGCAAGAGGAACACGCTTGCACTGGTAGGGTTGGGAAGTCGGTCCAGCTAAAGCCTCAGATTAGTTATGAAACCAGGCTGGGTCCCAGATTTTGGCAAAAGCACTGTGGAAATGGGATGCAGTATAGCAGATGGGAGGGGTGCCCCTGGCAGGAGTCGCCCTGAACCCCTGCAAACCTCAGTGACTTCCCTATGCTAGCACCAGCTCTCAGGCCCCGGTGGGTGGCAGGTGCAGTGGGAGTCGGCCGCCCACCGTCAGCTGCAGGACCCACCTGCAGCTGCAGGAACGGGATGTTGAAGAACTTATGCAGGTACTTCAGGCCAAAGCTGTTCTTCATGGAAGACTCTGCATATCGGAAATAGGAGGAGCCTGGGGGTCTGTTTTCAGAAGAGAATGGTGTGAGAAAGGCCCTCAGTGGGCAGGGGCTCAGCACTGTGGCCGGGCCTGGGACTGCCTAGCAGGCCCCAGCTGAGCTCCACGTTCTAAGCTGCTGTTGCAGTTGTTCCTCCTGGTGGCCTGAGGAACCAGACAGCAGCCAGATGGCCCCTGGTCCTGGGGCTCACCCTGGCTTGTACCTCCCTCGGGCCCAGCCAGGTCTGCATCTCCAGCAAGGCTGCCTCAGTGTCCCTCTGCAGTACCACCAACCATGCCCAGGCACAATCGCAGGCCAGCAGCACCCACCTGTCCAGGTGGTCGATGAAGTCACGCACGTCGTCGGGCAGAATGACACGGTGCTCGCCCATGTCACGGTAGTTGCCCAGCACGCACACGGGCACGTGGGTGGGCACTTTGGGAAGCTCTCGGAGGATGTAGTTGAAGGTCCTGGGGGAGGGAACAAGTCTCAGCCACGTAGAAGCTGAGCGTGCACCTGCAGCCCTGCCTGCTTTCTCTCCTGGAGGACACACCTCCATGCAGCCCAGGTCCTGGCCTCGCTTCCCGCCCTTATGAAAGCACTGCTACCTTCCCCTGCTGCCAGCGGCACCCTCTACTAACTGCATCTTGGGCTAACCCATCCCTCAGCCTGGGTGCCGAGGCCAGCATCTCGGGTGCCCTGTCCCTCAGCTGCTCCTGCACCATGCTCTCAGCTTGCAGACGCTGTGAGCGAGGCAGGCCTGCTGCAGGTGGACGAAAGGTCTTACGGGCCTCTCTCACACACAGAGGCTGCCCAGCGGTTCACAGGGTGATGAGGGGTCTCTCGAGGTGCAGCCTGGCCTGGGCTGCTTCAGTCACTCAGTGTCTTTCAAGTGGCTAGTGAAGGTGCAACTCGTTCCACAGCTGGAGCGGCTGCAGTGTCCTCTACATCATTTTCTTGCCGTTGGAGACAGGATCTTATGATGTAATTCAAGATGCCCTTGAGCTCAAGGTAACCTTCCTGCCTCAGACTCACGCCGTGGGGTGGGACGTCACTCATGGATGTGTGGTGTGGGACCCAGGTGGTTTCTTGCTTTGCATTCAGCAGCAGCTGCTCCACACAAAGTGCTGCCATCTGACCTTACACCAGGGTCAGGGGCTCAGGCCCTGAGGGATGGCAGTGCCCCATCAATGGTCTGGCCACATGCGGTACTGCCCGGGCACCTGGCTGGGGTCCCAGTGGCCCAGACAGCATCTGCACCGCTTCTTCCCCGGCTGACCCTGCTTCTCCTGTATTCCTGCTGTGAAAGGCACCCATGTGGCCACATCCGCCCCAGCTGTCCAGTCCTCGCTGGCCTCTAGGACATCGCCTGCTTCCCTGGCCATTCCACCGCAGAAGCTCCCCTGTAGAACCCTGCTCTGGAGGGGAGGTGGCTCCTACACCACATGCCACTCCACATGGCAAAGCCACTGCCTCAGGCAGGTGACGGCTGGCACTGCCCATGCAGGGGGGGGTGAGCAAGCAGTGCCATTCCTGGGACATGGGCAAGCTCTCCCCTGCACGTGTGGGCGCCAGCCACGAGGAGGCACTGGTGCACAGTGTGCGAGCTCTTGCCCCGGGCGTGGCACAGGTTTCTCTGGGAGATTGGTGCTCTGTGGCACGCACGTGTGCCTTCACACAGGCAGCACTAGAACAGAAGCCTGGTTACACTCAGTGGCCACTAACAGTGACTCTGCTGACAGCAGGGCAGACTGTGCCGCTCCCATTTTTAGTTTTCGACAATGTACGCAGTCTGTGTGTGCCGTAAGAGCAACAGGGCTGTACACACCAAGTAAGGGGCAGGAACACACAGGGTACTTCTAAATCTGGCTGCTGTCAGGCCTGTCTTCAGGCAGGGTGGCCCTTAGTTGGCATCTGGGAATTGCTCTTGGTGCCCAAGGGAGAGCTCGTGTCACCCCGAGGGTGGAGGTGGACCCCCAAGGCTCCTGGGGGAAGACTGCAGGTCCCTCAGGCTCCCAGCCTCTGCCCTCACCCATTCTGCTTGCTGTCCTCTGCGCTCGTGAATCTGAGCTATGACCCCTATCAAGTCAGCCAGCAGGGGCTGCAGGGGGCCATGACATAAGCAGCCACTCGATTAGCAGGCTGCAGGCTGTGGAGGGGCAGGCCTCATCCTGGACATGCCTTCTGCCAGGGCCTAGGCCCTCCCACCCCCTGCAGGGGTGCACATGGACCCAGCTGTGGTCCACACAGGTAATAGCGCCTCCAGGCTGGGGCTCTGCAGGGTGCTCTGTATCTACAAAGGGCCACCACCTGCAAGGTCACTACCAGCCAGCGGCATCCTCTTACCACTGCTTGGTGATGTCAAACATCATGACCACCCCATTACAGTTCTTGTATACATCCAGGAACTCGGCATCCAGGGCCATTTCGGACTCCGCCTAGGACAGGAAGGAGCAGGTGTAAGACTGGGCTCCATCCTCATGGGCTTTCAGTGACCTGGCAGAGGCCAAACGGCACTGTCCCGATCTGAAAGCTGAGAGGCACTTCCTTTGGAAGGAAATGGGAAGAGCACGCTGCTGGGCCACAGGCGCAACTGGGGCATGAGGCCTGGTGAAAGCCAGCTGTGGGCAGCACCTGCCCTGGGGTCATGGGCTCCAGTCACCACCAGAGATGGGGGACTGACTGCTAAGACAGGTACTCTAGAACCTTCCAGGGCACACACAGGGCCAGAGGTGTGTGCAGCGCTTCCTCTCCTGGGCTAGGGAACAGCAGAGGACCCTGCTCAGTGATGTGGCCAGGCTGTTCCAACCCACACTGGGGGCCAGCCCAAAGTGGTATCTGCTGAGTGGGGCAAAGGCAGGCATCACTCATATGGGCAGCTGGCCAGGGGGAGTCACCCTGAAATGCAACCTTGGCTTGGGGTGCTGCACAGCAGCTAGTGGCCACTGCAGCACGGCAGGATGGGGAGAGAAGCAAGCAGCAGGGTCTGAAGGGTGGGCACGGCTGGGTCACAAGTGGCCATGAGCAGTGAGGACGAATGGCTCACCTCCTGGGGATCGTTCTCTGTCTTCAGGCCGTCACTTCGCTTTTTGCTTTTTCCTTATTAAATGACAAACAACAATTGTGGTGTGTGAGCTCCAGGCCCAGGACTTCCAAGGACACCTCCCTGCCCCTGTGCCTTATTCAGCTTCAGAAGAACAGGGAACAGGCCCTGACAGCTGGACAGGAAGTGCAGGGCAAGTCCTGCAGGGCTTAGTGGCCGCTGGACAGGTCAGGTCTGCTGCGAGGCAAGCAGCTGCTCAAGACTGCCGGGTCCTCATGGCCCTCATGGCCACATCCAGGGCAACACTGAGGTGGGGCAGACCAGAGCTGATACTCCTGCTGGGGCTTCGGACACCCTGAGATTCACAAGCAAGCATGGACCACTGGAGGGAGACCAGGGCACAGGAGATGATCCAGCCACACCCTGGCTGCAAGGAGGGTAGTACTGTGGCCCAGCCCTGCCCAACTATGTTCTGACCCCCAAAGTCCCTAGGGCTTTACCAGGGGGACAGCCACAGCCCTGAGGGGCTGCTGCACCTGAGATGGACAACATGGCCACGCCTCCTTTCCACCTCTAGAATGCCCCACTGGGTGGGGAGCATGGCTTGCTGTTGGAAACAAATAGGGTTCATTTACTTAAAATACCGGCCCGCAACTCATCCCCAAGTCTGTTTCGGAGCCTCTGGCCGAGATCTGACCAGCCTAGCATGAGCCCCTGTGCTCAGGCGCAGCGGATGGCAACTCAGGAGGGGCCTGCCTAGCTGGCCACCCCCTCCCTCCCACGTCAGCCAGCAGCAGGACAGCTGGAGTTCAGAAGAAATCAGAGCTGCGGAGACTGCTCCCATCACCCCTCCCCGGAGGCATTCAGCAAGCACCCAGCACTCTGCCTCAGCCTCCAGCGCGCAGCTCAGGCACACCCTGCCAGGGACCGAGCTGCCCTCCTTCCCATCACGCAACAAACAGGCTGTGAGGGGCCAGTTCCTGGCCTGGAGGGACCTGTCCCTCTTGGTGCTGGCTGAGGAGCCCCTAGGTAGATGCCAGCAGGCAGAGATGAGGCCGTCACTGGGGAGCTTCCCAGGAGGACCAGCACCGTGTTCAAGCCTCGCGTGGTGAGAGGAAGAGCACGCTGGGGGATCCCAGGCAGGGGGTCTCTACCTGGAGACTGAAACTCTGATGCTTCAGCCCCAGGGCTTCCGGCATCAAACACCCTTGAAAAGCAGATCCTGCCAGGAGGACCTGCATGGGTTTCACCAGTGTAGACCAGAGCTGGACAAGGGCTTAGGGGGTCAACACCATCCCAGGCCTACAGGCTCTCTGCAAGAAACCAAGTGCCTCCCCCTGCAGTGACCAGTGCAGGGCCCAGGTGTCAGGAGGGCAGGCCAGCCTGAGCCAGCCAGGGGCTACAGCAGATGGGACGCTTGCCCTCAGAGCAGGGACAATGACAGGGCCTCAGAGGAGATGTGATGGGGGTGTGACAGAGACTGCTGTGCAGAGAGGGTGTGGAACACAAGGTTGGTGGCAGCATGGGCTACACATACTGTGCTCCTGGCAACCCCTCGGAACAGCACCTCGACTAGCTGCCCAGCTGCTAGCCCACTGCCTCGAGGAATACAGCTAGCTGGGAGAGGCCCTCTTGCACCTGCCCCAGAGCCTCAGCTCCACCAGGCTAAGCAGGTGAGAGCTCTGGGTCTGTTAGCAAAAAAGCCAGCACCAAAGGCCACATGCATGCACACACCCAGCCCTTGCCCAGAGATCAAAGAGGGCTTGTGATCTAGCGTGTCAGGGCTGGATGAGATCATCCGCTGTCACGGGTATCATGGGGTTAGGTGGGCCTGGGGCCCACCAGAAGGAAGGGGCTGGGCCTCAGCTATGGACACAGGCCCTGGCCTCTGGTCCCTGGGGCACTGCAGGAAATTCCTGTCACTTATGCAGCCTTAGCACCCATCCTGAGCCCAAGTTAGACCAGAGCAGGCCCAGCCCTTGGCAGGGTCCAGCTCTGTCCCAGCCACCCTGCCACGATAGCCTGAGGCTCCTGCACATCTGCCCCCTTACCTCTTAGACACAGCCCCACCAGCAGTACTGCAGCCTTCCTCCTTAAACACACAAGCTAAGACTGCCCGTGAGAAAGCTACCTGGGTAGCTCTGGACCCAACAAAGATGTTGGCTCTTAAAACAAACAAACAAACAAACAAACAAACAAACACATATGAATGTAGAACAGGGTCCACAGAATGTACAATCCGACCTAATGACACAGATCGGACTCGGAATGATTCTCCTGTCTGCAATCACCTTCTCAGCACGCCCAGGGCAGGGCCGGCTGCAGGACGGCTGCTGCGCTCTGCCGAAGCAGGCATTTTAGTCCGCTGAGCTATCTGGCCAGCCCTTATTTATTCATTTTTCTCTGGCTCTTTCTTCCTGCCTCCTGCAACCTGGGCAACTCAGTCTCCCCGGCCCACCCCCGATCTGTAGGCGAAACTCTCCTACTGCAGAGGTGCACAGACTGACTTTTCCTCTGAGAAATCAGGGTTGCAGCCAAGCAGGCACCAACTAGACCTGCACCAGAGAGGGACCAGAGCGAAGCCACAAGGACGTGCACACCAGGGTAAAGCAGCTTCCTGTGTGTGCTGGTGTCAGGTGCACACCACGAGGACGTGACCAGGCGTCCCTGCCAGCTCTACGGCCAGCCCCCTCCATGCCCTCAGGGTGCTGTGACAGGTACTAGGTCTCGCTGGCTGACACAAGCAACTCCTCAAATGGCCCATGTGGCCAGAGGTTGCTACACACCCCCTGCTGGTGCTCATCCATTCGGGGCTAGAAATGCTCAAGCAACCGAGGGTGCAGAGCCAGCAGGTCCATGCCACATGCCCATCCCGTTCACTGGCATGGTAGAAGCTGACTGGACACTGCCCACAGTGCCCACAACAGTGAACCCAAGCCTTGCACAGATGGACCTGGGACAGGCAGAGCAGGTCCTCTGTAGGACAGGGGACCAGAGAGTAGCTGAGACCAAGGTGACAGGCACAGGAGGGAAAACAGCTGCAGCTCTCACCTTTGTCGACCACATCCCAGACTTCAACTTTCACTACATCGTCTGTGGCTGAAACAAGGGAAAACCTTGCTGAGTATGCAGAAGGGTGACAGGGCTCAGGGGTCTAGGGGCAGGCCCCAGCATTAGTCTGTCCCATCCAGAGCCCCTGGCCATGTGCCAGCCTGCAGGGTGAGCGCTCGTGCCTGGTGCGCGGTCACAGGGATTGAGTCTCTGGAGATGTCTGCTCTCTAGCCCACCTGAGCTACAGCTGCCCCCGGCCCTGACATGGGTTCACGGCTCCAAATCCCAGACGGGCGCTTCAGGATGACCTCCACATCCCTGTTGGGGTTCCCGCTGGAGGCTGGGTGGGGCACTCACTCTTGTAGCTCCAGTGGATGCTGGTGACCTGGATCTCCTGCGTGGGGATGTATTCCTCCACAAACTTCTTGCCCTGCAGCCGGTGCCATAGAGCAGTCTTGCCTGTGTTCCTGTCTCCCCGGATCACGATCTTCACTGAGGGTGAGGAGGGACAGAGAGGACAGACCAAGTCATCACTGTGACAGGCTTGTACACTTGGTGGGAGTCCAGCCCTGGTGGCTGGTGGGTAGGGAAAGGAGTGGATGAGGAGTGCTGGGGGTCCTGGCTACAGCAGTGGGGTGTCTGTGCCAGAGGAGCTGGGTCTGGAGGGGCAGGCAGGGGTCCAGAACTGGAGTTTCCTCCTTGGGGACCAGGATCTGCCCTGGAGTCCGATACCTGAGGGACAACTGGGGATCCTCGGGCCGAAAGGGATGTGCCTGGGGCAGCACCCTGGCCTGGCACGGCTTTCCTTGAACCCACTATCCCTGCAACTGGCCAAGTGTGGTGCATAGCTGTGCAGAGGGCTCACCCCACTCCACACTGCTTTGCATGCCAGGCTGTGCCCAAAGGGCCCACTGGTTCCAGGCAGGGGCAGGAACAGGCTCCAGCGATTGGAGCAGGGTGACTCAGGAGGGCAGCATGGAGGTAAGGTGCAGGGTCAGCAGAGGCAGGCGGTGCTGCAGGAGGGGAGGCCAGGTCAGAAAGGACTGAGTCTTCCCGAGGCCGTTCCTGAGCTGGGTACCCCTGTGGGAGGGGTAGGGTGCTGGGACCCAGACACACCCTGGCAGTCCTAGGCCTAGGAGAGGGAGGCCGATGCCCCGCACAGCAGGGCACAGTGGCCCCAAAACTTCTATAGGGGTCAGGATGGCTCACGGGAGCTTCGGGGCTCAGGAGAGACAGCCCTGGGGTTTATCTTTTCCCAGATCGTCTCTGCTGACTGCTCTTGCTGGATCCTCCCCTCCCACATCCAACTGTGGACCGTGGATCTGGGCACCAAAAGCTGGTGGCCAGTGGTTGAACTGCTCAGCAGCGCTTGATCTGGGTTGTCTGCCTCCTCTATTGCCTCCCCACACTCCAGTCCCACACGTAGCCATGTGGAAGTGTCAGCTGTTCTCAGATCTCAGGCACTTACCTCCTCCAACCTCACTCAGGGCTGTGACAGGCCACCTCAATTCCGAGGTGCCCTGGGGAGAGCAGAAGTGTGTGGCTGGTAGGACCTCCTGCAGGTCTGCAAGGACCCCTATGCCCATCCCTTGCCTCTCAGGGACCACCTGTCAGGCCTGTGGAAGACCAACCTGACCACAAGCTGGCCTGGACTCACTCTACACACAGGCCACAAGGGAGGTTCCTGCCTGCCCCACCTTCCTCATGAGGGAGTAACAAAGAGTGGAGGCAGCTCCCGGGGCTTGGGCCCTGGGGAGGCGGGCACAGGCGCAAGCAGCACCCTGCAGGAATCCAGCGTGCCCTGGCTACAGGACTTGCTATTTTCTTGTGCCAGTTTTGGCACATAGTGCTAAGGATGTGTCCATGTCGAATCCTGGTAAACCATAGCTATTTCCCTGTATCCACTGGCATGATATTGTTTAAAACATTCTCTTAGCGCTTGCTTTCTGGGGCAACTACAATCCTGTCTACTTAAGAGATTTCACGTGCACATACCGTCTCCCACTGACCTCTTTCCAGAGGCCACACCTCTGCAGTGCTCCGGCTCCACCGGGTTCCTGCCCTGGCCTTCACCGTCTTCGCTCACTGGCTTTGGCTTATTCCTGCTTTTCTTGGTTCTACTCCCCAGGGCCTTTGCACTGAGCTACCCTCCTATCCCTTTTGATGTCAGGCTAGGTCTTTTTTTTTTTTTTCCAGACAGGGTCTCAGTGTATAGTCCAGGCTGGCTGTGAATTCACAGCAATCCTCTGGCGGCAGCCCGACTGCTGCGATTACAGGCACGTGCCACCACACCCAGCAAACAAGGGTTGTGGTAGATACCTTTTTTTTTTTTGTATTTTAGGGAAGGGTCTACAGGCTGTTTAGGGTCTCACTACTAGAACAGACTCTAAAGATCTGCCTGTTTATAGCCTCCCAAGAGCTGGGATTACAGGGTACGCTACCATGCCCAGCCTCAACTGCTGTCTCAGCATGCCCTGGGGGTGGGGCCAGCACAGAAGGGCCAGGGATTGAACCCTTGACCCTTACACCCATTTGCAGGAAATTTAATCTGTTGAGCTATTTGGCTGGCCCTAGATTTTTTTTTTTTATGAGCAGAATATATTTATTGAGAGAAAGAAAGCTCCTGTCCTGAGGGGAGGGGAGCGGGTAATGCCCCCCCCCCGATTATTTTTGAAGACCGTAAATGAATGCTTTAAGTTTTGGTGTTTTGAGACGGTCTCACTATGTAGTCCAGGCTGGCCTTGCACGCATGGCGATCCTCCCGCCTAGCCTCCCAGGCGCTGGGACTTCAGGTGTGCGCACTATGTCCAGCATATGCTGAATTTTATTAAGACATTTTTCTGTGACTGTAGTTTCTCCCTTTTGCCTGCTGGTAAACCATACCTATTTCCTGGGGCAAGTTCACTTCATCCGGATGTGATGGGGCCTAGACCCATCCCCAGCCTTCCTTAGGCCCTGCCCTCTGCTCACCAGTAGGGATGGAGAGCACTTTCCTCTGTGGCTTGCTCCGAAACACTTCCCAGCCACCTCCTGCACTGTCTGGATGAGCTGAAAACTCTCGGCCAGGGTGGTTAGGGTTCCTTCACGTTTCATTTTGTCATTTTAATTTTTTTCTTGTATCAAACTCAGGGACCTATACACTAAGCTAAGCTAATACCCTCCTCCTGAGCTACATCGTGACCCTTCTGAGACAGGACCTCACTAACTTGCCTGGGATGACATTCAACATGAAACCTGCTGCGTGTGTTGGCATTAAAGGAGTACCATCCCCTACCCCCTTTTTTTTTTTTTTTGCAGAGCCAGGGATTGAACTCAGGCCCTTACACTTGCCAGGGAAGTGCTTATTCTACTGAGCCATCTCCCTGGTCCCACCCCTGCCTTTTTTAAAAATAGTTTTTTATGACAGGGTCTTGCCATACAGTCCAGGCTGGTCTTGATCTTGAACTATGTAGTCTGGGCCAACCTCAAACTTGTGCCAATCCTCCTGCCTCAGCTTCCTGAGTGGTGGGATTACAGGCCTGTACACTGGTTGATTCTTTCTCTCTCTTTTTTTTGGCGGTACTGGGGATAGAACTTGGGACCTTAAACTTGCCAGGCAGGCACTTAAGTCACTGAGCTATCTCCCAGGCCCTGATTCTATTTCTTGTGGAATCTTTATTTTTTGCTGTTCTGGGGAGTAGAGTCAGGGTCTTCATACTAAGGAACAGCCCTAGCCATTTTTTTTTTTTTTTCTTTCTGAAACAGGGTCTTGCTAAGTCACTACACGGATCAGGATGGGGCCAACCCTGGGCTCAGCCTCTGATAGTGCCAGACTAGAGGCATGTTCCATCACACTCCCTAGGTTTTAAAGTTTAAAAAGGAAAGTCGAACGCTGGGAGCAACGGCACACACCTGTAGTCCCACTTCTTAGGAGGTTAAAGCCACAAACTTGAGAGCAGTCTGGACAACACACAAATCCAATACAGCCTCAAAGTAAACAGAGAAGCTGCCTGCCGTCACAGAAGGTGGTTGGTGGGCCCACCAGGTTTCCTAGTTGTCCTTGGCTTAAGGCTCATGTAGACAATCAGGCTCTCTAATGAGCCTGCAGGCCTTGCCCACTCTGACCTCCTTTTACTCCAAGATGTGCTTTGCCCATGTACCTGCAGTTGGAATGGATCTGCGCGGTCAGGACGCCTGCTCAGTTTATACTGGACTCACGCAGTGTCCCTTCCCGGCTCCTGGCTGCCCATCTGCCATTATGATCCGGGTATGTACCTTATGAGCCACAGCCATGCTAAAACAAACCCAATCTCATGCTTTCACTTTGAACTGATGGTAGGCCTAGGTGGGCTGACTATAGCATTGTGATTGTCAAGGAATGTGGAATTATTATTTTTTTATGTTTTAAATTTATTTTATTTACGGAACCGGGGACTGAACTCAGACCCTTGCGCTTGCCAGGGAAGCGCTTATTCCACTGAGCCATCTCCCCGGTCCCTTAATTTTTTTAATTGTGGAATTATTTCTACCACTTCTTTATCTTTATTTATATATGTATTTGGCACAGGGTCTCACTGTGTAGCTTGGACTCGTAGTGATCCTCCCGTTTTCAGCCTCCCCAGTGCTGGGATTACAGGCATGGGCCACCACGCCCAGACTTGGTGGCTGGCTCAGCGTGCCGGGTGGCAGGGCCAGCACAGTATGTGGTACCAGGGATCGAACCCCCGTCCCTGCACCCATCTTTACTTATTATCCTGGTTTCCTCCTAGCCTTTACTGTCTTCTATTAAGTTGAGCAAGATATTGACCCCTTCTTTTCAACTGATGTTTATTTGGAAGAGTTGTAACCTATTCCTATTCTCAGTAACTCCTGAATTTTTAATATTCAGTTACTGTTACATAATCTAAACTTATTATCTTTCTCACACATATTGCTTTCCCCCCACCCCCACCCCTCTCTTACATATTGTAAGGAATTTTTTTTCTTTTCCAGACAGGGTCTCAATATGCAGTTCAGACTGGCTTTGAACTTACTTTATAGCCCAAGCTGATTTGACCTCAAAACATTGTCTCAACCTCCCAGTGCTGGGATTACATGAATGTGTCACCAAGTCCGGCCAATGCAAGGGATTTTGAACACCTTAACTCTGATCCTGGGTTATGTGCTAGTTTCCGCTGTGGAAGTGAGTGCTTTCTTCTTGCGTCTTGTCTAGGTAACCCTCATTACCAACTGACATCACCAGTGTTCACTGGCTGGTATCACTTAGATTTTAAAACTCATTTCCTAGCTCCTTTGGTCACCTTTGCTGTTTGAATGTGAACCTTTCTTTTGAGCTCACTTTTCCATCTGTCTAAAGAAGACCCTCTGTACAGATGGATGTGTTATTTAGTTCTCCTTGAGACAGGGTGTCACAATGTAGCCCAGGCTGGCCTCCAACTTGTGGGGTTCCTCCTGCCCTGTCCTCCTGAGTGCTGGGATTACAGGTGTGTGCCACCACAGCTGGCCCCTTCTGTATTCATGTCTGCAAGAATCTGCACAGTGAACTGCCAACCTGAGGTGGGAAACAAGCTCAGCCATACTTGCTCTGGTGCCACTGCTGCGTTCCACAGACCCCAGCGTTGCTGTGACTTCCCTGTAGGCCTCTGAGCTGCCAGAAGCGTCACAAGTTCAGGGCTGGTTCCTCATGCTATGGTTGCATGACAAATTCCTTGCTTCTCACTGCGGTTCTGAAAACTTTCAGTGATGTGCCTAGCTGTGGATGTTTTATAAAGTCTGGACTTGGACATTGTAGGGTTTCGTGTAGCTCATTAATTCTGCATAAGCCTCAGTTTTCTTCAAATACTGACTGCTTCACCTCCACAATGGCTGTGCTTTCCTTCTGAATCTGCTTAATCACTCTGCCCTACTTCTCCCTGCAGCTGAGTTATCGTATGCCACTTCACGGACCCTCTTTACACTTCAGAGACCAGGGTTTCCTTTCCCAAGGTCTCTGTCCGAGTGTTCTTAGCAAACACAGCAAGGGCTTTCTCCTCTGGGAGGCGGCCCCACAGCTGCATTCCCACAGGCACAGCCGGCCAGCCGGCCAGCTGCCGTGGACAGGGAGGTGACTAACGCAGGGGCGTTTTTCTTCTAGTTTATATGCAGATGGGTTCCGAAATGGAACTATGATCCAGTGCCTCCTTCCTCCTGACTCTAATTTGAAGGCTGTGCTGTACTCTGGGCATTTGTGCCTACAGGGTGTTTCTCATTATCTTAACAAACTGAAAGCCACTATGTGCCCCAGAAGGGTAACATTTTGTAAGACACAACGCTTACCTGTAAGTATTCTGCATCTACAGTTATTGTATCACTAGTTTGTTCCTTAGGCGAGACACTTGGGAAAACAAGTACTAGAAACTTATTATTCCACTAGTTCAGCGAATGAAAAGCATATATATATTCAACTAGAGGCACTCAACATCTCCCTGAAATGTAACAGAAATATACAATGAAATTTCTCTGGCCTCTCAACAAGGACAGTACAAGTCTCCCAAACAATGGATGCTGGATTTTCTACTCAGGAACAACTACATGTCCCTTTTTAGTCCCTCCTGCCCAGTGGCACCAGGGGGTGGGCCCATAAGGGAGCCTTGCTAGTGAGCAGTTTCTGGATCAGATCTAATGTCCAAGGGCCTGAGATTAGGACTCACTCAGATAACCATTGTTAATAAAATTAAGGAATGCAACTGGTCATTCCAAAGATTTGCATCAATGAATACTTTGCCCAATATTCTCTTCACAGAATTGAGAAATACAAAATGTCAAGTTAACACATCTAAAATGAGTCTGTTTTTAAACCTAAACATGTCTTTGGTTAATCAGCTTCTTTTGTTTTCTTTCTTTGACACAGGATCTTTCTATGTAGTTCAGGCTGGCCTCGAACTCCTGGCGATCCTCCTGCCTCAGTCTCCAGAGCTCTGGGGTTACAGGCATGTGCCCCCACTATCCAGTTTCGTACAGTGCTACTTTAACATAGGTGCTGCAAGGTTTTGCATGAGAAAAGCCTGGGATCGCGGTGTTGTGTGTGTGCCCTGCAGCCTTGCAATATGCGAGGGAAACAACGTCAGAGCAAAGGGTAACATGAAAGCCTGCAGTTTCTGCTAGGAAAGAACCTGTAAGTGGAAAAAGGCAAAAGAGGTCAAGGGAACAGCCTGTAGCTAAGAGCTGCACAAGATACATAATTTATAACAGGATGAAGCCACCTGGCGTTTGTACACAACCCCTCCAACCCGTAGGGATAGAGACGTCTACAATCTCTGCGCCTCTGAGAGCTGTCGTGAATGTGTCTGTTACAGATGTTTCCTTAGGAACCAAAGCGTCGCGACTCTCGTCTTCCAGCTGGATGGGAACTTAGCAGCCCCCCAGCCGAGCCCGCGCCCCCAGCCGAGCCCGCGCCAGACCCTGCGCTGCGCGCGCCGCCCTCCCGCGTTATGTAACGCTCCCCCGACGCCGAGGCACCCGCGCCAGTCGCCGCCAGGGCAGCGTCCCCGACAGCAAGCACTTCTCGGGCCGGTTCCCGCAGGCGGCACCGCTCAGGACGGAGCCGCTGTCCGGGGCGGCGCCGCGCGGCCCGGGCTCCTCCAGGGAGCCGCCGCCCGCCCCGGCCTCCTGCTCCCGCCCGGCTCCCGCGCCGCGGAGGCGGGGCCGCACTCACTGTTGTACTGCACCCCCTTGGCAAAGCGCCTCTGCAGCGCCTGGTTCATGGACTGCAGCCCCGCGGGGATGTTCTTGTCCCGGCCCGGAGCCTGCTCCGACCCCACCAGCTTCTTCAGCGCGGAGAACATCGTCGCGGCCCTGCTCCGCGCCTGGCGCGGCCCGCGAACTCAGCGGCAGCGGCGGCGGCGACGCGGCGCGCCTCGCAGCATGACCCGGCAGCCCGGACTGCACCCAGGCTGGACCCTGTGCGGTCGCGGGCCGAGCCTCGAACGGTGCTGGGGCCTCAACCGCGGCAGCTCGGCCGCAGCCCCCGCGGGCCCCGGCACGGCCAGCATCCACTCGCCAGCGCCGCCATCTTGGCGTCGGCGCCGCTACGGCGTTCGGCGAGGGACACTGAGCGCGGCGCGTG